ATATATAATATATATATATATATATATCATCTCTGCAATATGATGATCTTATATAATGTTATTACTATCCTAAAACATTCTCCAGGTCCTCTGAAACTCTGCAGGACTTAAGCCTCTTTTGCACAGAGCTTTCGCGGCGCCCACCGCGGGGTAGGGCGCAGAGGACAGGATTTGGGGGAGTGCACGCTCGTTCAGGAGCTACAGCTCCATGGTGACCGCTTCCGGGTCTACTTCAGGCTCTACTCTGCTATTGGACGCACGGCGCGTTGCGGTGAAATTAAAAAAAATTAAATTCGAGCGCAGGCTGGCGGCGCGCAGACACTCGCGCCACTCAGCTCGGTGGCAGAGTGGTGTGCTCTTGCGCTGCGGTAGCACATACACATTGAATGGGTTCATCGGCGGAGGTCTGCGCTTTGCGCGCTCTGTGTGAAAAGGGCTTTATTTCCACCCTGCCCAGCAGCAGTACCGTAGCGAATGGTCCCTAAAGGCCTCTATACATGATCAGCCGTAAAACCGCTTTGCGCTGGCTGTCCCATTGTTTGTCTATGGAGAGGGCAGCAACGTCTGACAAAGCGGCACCGCTACCCTTGGCGTTGCGCACCGCTCTGATTTTCCGCCCAAGCGCTGCGCTCAGAGTTGAAATTATTTGAACTACGGGGAGAACGGAGCAGGCTTCCCCGGAGATCCACCCGGTCCATCTCCTCCACACTTTGACTTATTTCCACGCTGCCAACAGTGGGACTTATATTCATTGTGCCGACAGTGGCTTGGAAAACCGCCCATAACCTTGTCATACGGGGAAGAGTGAAGGCTGCTGGAGTTCTTCCAACATTTGCGGTTAGATTATCATATTTTTTTATTGACAAAAATATAGGCTGCTTCTGTTGATTTTTTTTTTTAATGCGCACATGTGCCCCTAAATATTTTTTACAGTTCGCACACACCTATTTTTAGTCGCAAATGCGAGTGAACCGCTCGCACTGTCGAGCCCTGACATTATATACAGTAAATGATCTTTTGTTTACTGCAAAACATAAATCGTTGATTTATTTCATTATTTAATTTGTTATTGCCAAAATAAACTGGCTCATCTAAATACTGGTTGGTTACCTTCCAAAGTGCAGAGAAACGTAGACCTTTATATAGTTGCCGTTGTCCTCTACCTTTTAGTGGTCAAGCACTATACACAAAACCCTGTTATTGCCACGTCACCCACCATCACATTTCAGCACAATCGCCTTAGGCAGTGCACAGCATTGCTTGTCTGCACATGCAATGCAGCTGTTTTTTGTGCTTACAGACGAGATGATTCAATAGTCTTTTGTTTCAGGGTTAAAAAGTAGCACCTTTTTTCTACAACCCTGCATTATGGGAATATTTTATTTCTTTTACTTTGGCGTGCTGGCTTAAAAGCAGCATTGTAAGGAGGAAGTGTTACTCAACTGCAATTTTCCATTAAGACATCTATCGATGCGCTCACCTTAGAAATGGTGCTCGAGTTGAGCGATTCAGTTTAGGTTCCAATTAGAGGAGACAGTGAAGTGGAAGCCTGCTGTCTGCAGAGAGCTGCAAAGTGCCACTGGAAGTGCTCAGTCTCCCGTAACTAACTGCAGGTGAATAAAGTAAACGACAGTTTCCCTGATGTAACTGTCCTAGGTTTACGACATCACCCAAATTTCAATTCCCTTGATGGTTGGATGACTCACCATGGCTGAAGGCACTAATCTACTCTAGGGTTTTAATGTGGTGAGGCCCTGCTTGATGCTGGGCTCTAAATGGAGCCAGTTTTGGGCTACCAGTGGTTTCTAGGCCCTGACTTACCAAGCCAGACAACGCCGTTTGGCTATCATTAAAGGTTTCTGGCCAACCGATACCAGTAGTATTTGAGGTGTGTCCAAAGCCATTTGCATTATTCGGCCCTTATAAGCTGCTGTTCCGCAGATTGAGTCTGCAAAATTGTTGGTGGAGGCAGTATGAGAGAGTGTTGCCTGACTGGCTATTCAGCCGAGTGAATCAGAGATTTTACCCATTTAGCGCAGTCTATCCTTACATTTCTTGCCTCTGCCCTTTCTTCTTTTACAACTGAAAGACATGCTGACAACAACGCTGCTACTTGGAGACAGACATGTTGCCTTTCAGGCGCTTATACTCTCCCTTTTCTGACTTTTTTTCCAGAACTCATTCAAACATAAGTCGTGCAGCGGTAAATCACAACATCTTGTTACAAAAATGTGTCTCAGACAAATCGGTTGCCTTTTAACTGGTTATTAGCAGCACAGTTTGCTTAATTGCTATGAAATGCGAAAAAAGGAACCTTTAGTGCCTGATTTAGATCTTGATTCAGTTTTCAAGGCTCCTCACTTCACTGAGACTGCTTGGTCAAAAAGAGCCTAGTGTGTCAGGGCCCTAATGGCAACCCAGCATGTGACCAGGATAGCACTTGATTCACATGATGATGATTTTTACAAAAATACACACACATCTTAGCAACGTGAGTGTGATCAAAGGTATACTAGAAAATCTCTGGGGTGCTTATTATTCCGTGTGTACATAGATATACGGCCAACACTGCAGTTCACTGGGAGGCTGAGGAGTTCAAAGCCCCCTTTTTTTAGCAGAGCCCTCCTCTGTTCTATGTGGAGTGTCAGCTGTGATGGCCTATTGACATGTTAATGCAATGTTAATGTATTCTAATAGATAATCTGGCCTGATCACAGCGGTCTTTGGCTCGCTCAGCCTGTGTGAGGTGAATATGTTGCAGCAGCACCCCCACGCCCATTTATCTCACTGTCGTCCTCCTTTCCCAGTGGTCCTACTCCTACTGGGAGAAATGGGGGCAGTTTATTAAAACACAATGGCCTGATGATATCTGGCTTATGTTTATTTGCATGGCAGATAATACACCCTCCGCCCCCTTCCTGTGTCATCAATCTTGCTTTTGTTTGATTTGTTGGTTGAAATTGCTATAATCCCACTTCCACTTTGGTTGTTTACTTTGCCACGGATCTATTGAGGAGCCATCAGATTTGCGGTGTTTTTTAGGTCACGTCTACCGCAGGTCATGAAAAAATCATCTGATAATTATCACGCCTCTCTGGATGGTTTATTTAGCTCCAGTAAATTGGAGGCAGGGCTAAGCAGCAGAGAAAGAGAGAGCTCAGCTGGTTGTGAGAGAGAGAGAGAAGAGAGCAGCTCGATGCATATTAGAGTTCAACAGCCCTCCCCGCGGCCTGGGAGCTCCAGTAACAGCATAATACACACTATGTAGGTCAGAGACGCTGCAGTGCTCCACTTCCCCAGCCCAGTGAAACTGACAGGCTGGAACGCCACTGGCGGTCTGCTGGGACGGAAGGATGAGAGGCTTTTTTTTTTCCCTCCCCCGCTCTTCTTTTCTTCATCCCCCTCCCCCACCTCCTCTCTCCTCTTCCCATGATTCCTCTTCCTTGCTTTCACTTCTGCCTTCTTGTCTCTTGGTGCTGTTTTCATGCCTTCTGTATGTATGTTTGTATGCGACTGGGTTCTTATGTAACAGGGCACTACTCTCTCTGATGTGTTGATGTGTTGGTACGGTGCCGTGGCATGCCCAAGCGCTGTTGACCCACGGACTGTGCATCAGTGCCTCCTGACAGCTATCTCACCCCGTGGCCATCTCTATGGCCATGTCACACAACAGCCCTCAGCTATCTCATTACTCCAATGTCCTCGCTGCGAGCTCCTACATGAGCAGTGTTGCACCATCTAACAGTTGACGCTAAGAATATCCTGTCACATGTTTCTAACATGTGATCTGCGGAGAACATACACTCATCCATTTAGCTTCTTTCCTGCTCTGCAGCAGTCCTGGTATCACATTCACTGTCTGTATGCTCTGCGTTTTTAATGCTGTTTTTGTCTCCTTCCCCCCGCCCATTGTTTGTCCCTGTTTCTCTCTCTCTGCAGGATGCTGTTTTGTAACTTTTTATACAAGAAAAGCTGCACTGGAGGCCCAGAATGCACTGCACAACATAAAGACTTTAAGTGGGGTGAGTAAGCACAGTATGGGCTGCTTTTAGCTGCTTGAGCCCCTCTACATCCCCGGTGCAGGCTGTGAGCTGTGTGCCGGCCGATAATGAGCTCTCGGCTCACTGAACGCCTGTCTGGCCTGAAAAATATCTCGGCCCCCACTATGCACTAACACCACACAAAGGACTGCCCCTGAACCTCAACACACTGAACTGATAAGCTAGCTGACCCTACACACGCACACACACACACACACAGACACTCACACACACACATATGCAGGTATCAGGTAGAGTGTGCTTGACCAGGCAGCAGGTTATTCACTGAGGCACAGGACCCGATCGCCACAAAGTGGAACAAATTATTAATGCTTGTCTTCATGAATCATTGATGCACATCTACATTTTTATTTCCCAAAGTTGGAGGTACAAAAAGAGGCGAGTTCAAGTCTTTTTAACAATGAGGCTTCCTGAGAGAGAGTGTGGTCTCTTAATTCCTTACCTGATTTATCTAGAGATTAAAGCCCAGTCAACCGGAATAAGTGCAGTTGCTTGTTAAACGTGTACAAATCTGCCCCGCCTATACACCGCTCTAAACGACTTTCCTTCCAATCAATTAAATCTATAACAAACAACTGCACCCGTCGATTAAATCAATAGCTCAGTCTATTGGAAATGTCAAGGAGGTTACAGGTAAATATTGAACCGGGTTGATAAATGAGTGTAGCAGTCTGAGTATACAGGCCCAGCTCTCTTCACTGGAGAACTATCAATCAGCCAGACATTTCAAATAAAGTGTGGTCTAACAGCTCAGCTCTCAAATCCCAGTCCCTGATCATACTGTTGCTGGCATTGACTGCAGGTGACTGAGTTTGGTTTGCGTGACAGTGGGAAAAGCTTGTTTCTGTTCCTGTTTTCTCTCCCTTCTGTGCCTCGCTCTCCTTGGTCAGTGACGCTAGCCAGTACCCATACTGAGCAGGCCATCTGTCTGCTTCTTTTTAGTGCTTGTCAAAAACAAACCCACCACTTTTCATAAGTACAACCTGCTCGGGCATCTCACGGCTAGATTTATTTCCTTTCTTTCACATCACATGGCAGGTAAAATGCGCTAAAAATACATTTCACTCAAAGTTCTGAGAGTCGCCTTGCACCGACGTCTTCATTAAATAGCGTGAAGTGACAGATCCTAAAGCACTTTCTCACATAATGAACACAGCGCGAGGGAGAGCGTCATGTTCAGAGATGTTAGGCTGACTCAAACGAGATTTTTCACAGCTCTGGTTCGCCACACCTTGTTGTGTTTGTATGTGATATAATGGTGTATAGGGGAGGTGAAAGGCAATCATTATCTCAAAAACTTAAACTCACTGTACATTTTAAGACGTACTGAAATGGCTCTGTTGTCAGTTATCTCTGTAAGATTGTTCTAAAGATGATGAGGGATGTTGACAGGAAGAATCGATAAGTTCAATCACAAGTCTACACTACAGCGAGAAGTGAAATTGGATACCGGAGAATTTGATCCCCGCCATCAACTCATAGACACTTCTTCCTGAATCTGGCAGTGGTGAGGGATGATGGTGTTTTGAGTGAGAGAACAAAACAAGAGGCAGAGAGGGATGCTTGAAGATGGAGGGGATGAGTGTGAAGATATGAGACCAAGCACCTGCATAGTTTGTAACAGTGACAGGTGCAGTGTTAACCATTTCTCTTCCCCTCTTTATTTCCAGATGCATCATCCTATCCAGATGAAACCCGCTGACAGTGAGAAAACAAGTGGTAAGTGGATGCATGTGTAATGTAGGGTGACATCAGCAGCAGGGCGGGAGGGTACAGAGATGACTTCTGCAGAGGAAAAATCATTTGAGATTAAGCCAAGACAAATGGGGTATGAGATTTTAAAAGAAGGCGGGGGCTGGATTGTGACTGTTTAATGCCAAAATGAAGGCCAGAGAGGGACTTAGTTCAGGGAATGTACGGCAATACACAATTTCTATATGGTGTCAGGGGTTAGGAGGATTAAGGGCTTTAAAAGGCACCAAGGGGAGAAGAGTAGAGCAGGTACATAGGATCTGGGCGAGAGCACAAATGGATGATACAGTCATCTGTCTCGAGAAGTAGACACTGAGGGAAAACAAAGCTGTGAGTTGCAGAGATTTGTACAAGAGGCTGGCACCTTGAGTGAGAAGCAGAAAATGTGGTAGCATGACAGGGAGTGAGCTTGAAAAAGAGAAGTGCAAGATTTAACGCCTGATGTAACTGCCGCTTTCATAGCTCCATGATTGTTTGTCTGAATAGCTTTCCTCTTTTCATCCTCTCCGCAGCGGTAGAAGACAGAAAACTCTTCATCGGAATGGTTTCAAAGAAATACGGCGAGAACGAGATCAGAATGATGTTCTCGTCTTTCGGGCAGATCGAAGAGTGCCGAATTCTCCGGGGACCAGATGGTCAGAGCAGAGGTAGGCGTGCTTTCAGCGCTGGCACAGTGTTCTTTGCCTCACAGCCGCCACCTTCAGCGTAGCCGAGTACATATTCTCATCAAGTATTTATGCAGGCCCCTCCCTGCTTCTCCCTTTCAGCCCCCTCCACCCCCAAAATCAAGTGCTATTCACCTCCAGTGGCACCCATTTCAGTCCCCATAGTCTATCCTCCCGTCACTGTTACACTCAGCCTCCACATCTCTCACAGCGAAGGGCCACTGCTCTCACTGTCCGGCACAATGGCCCGTCGCCTTGGCAACCGCTGGCTGCTGGTGTTCGTGGGCTCAGCTGGCAGGCGGCTCAGCTCAGCTCAGCTCCTCCTTTACCGCCTCCTTCATCACACTCTACAAAGGCAGGAATTAGCTTGTCGTTGCATCTCCTACATAGCTCTCGACTGCATAAAGCCTTAGATAGCAGGCAGCACGAGGCTTTGCGATAAAACCTCACTGCAGAGACAGTTGGACATAAATTTCTCTTCCCCTTTTTTTTATTATATGTTCTTAATGTAAGCACAATTTGAAATGGGCCTTAAATACCCTTTGATGTTTGCAGATCTTGCACATTTTACCAAATCAGAGCCTTTCAGTGTGTATATATGTGTGCATTTTATGTGTTTATAATCACGTTGACTGTTTCACCATGACACCACATAGTCAAGCCTCATTGGGTGGCAATTTAATCCGTCGATCACTGTGCTCATGTGACACGTGTTACTGTTTTCCTTGTTGTGTTCTTTCTCTGTGTGCTAACCAGTGAGGGTGGTTCTGTGTGCTTGGGAGTTGCCATTCTCTGTACTGTAATGTGTTTTTTGGGGTTCATAACGAGTTGTCCAAACCTTTTGTCTTGTTTTGTTTCTTCTTGTCCCTACCTCCCTCCCCCCCTCTCCTATTGTTCCCCCCCTACAGGCTGTGCGTTTGTCACATTTGCTACCAGGGCAATGGCACAGAATGCAATCAAAACCATGCATCACTCTCAGACTATGGAGGTACTGTACCCCTTAGCACCTATTTCTCATTTCCCCTCCCCCCCCCCCCCCCCCCCCCCCCATACATTCTACTGCCCCCTTGTGTTGGAAAGATGAACATGTCCAAGCAGATGGCGTCCATTCATCACAGAGCATGAGTCATTTCCAAAACCACTCTTGCTAATTACAGAATTACATTGTCGTCTGCAAAATAATTGAATAAAACGTGAAACATTACCTCGCATAGCCACTGAATCCAGAGCTAACAGCACACGACTGTCATTTCCAATTTTGGGCTGAACTAAATGCATCTCATTTATTAATTCCTATCATATTTTGAAACCTAGCTATCACAATCATCCAAAATCAATCTATAATTTGGACCACAGGGAAAAGAGCCCACACTATCAAATATAGGTTGACAAAGATTTTACCCAGATTGGAGCAGCTACCCTATCAGATTTAGTCAAAAACTGGGTCCATGTCATCGTGTAGCCAATGGTATCTTTTTGGAAGTGGAGCAGCAGTAATGTGACAGCTAGCAGGTCAGAGGCTCCCCAGTGAAGCAGCAGACCAAGTCTAATTAGGAGCCCAACCAAACATAACACTCCTTCTCCCGGATTAAACGCAGGCTCCAGTGGTGCTTCCCCCTATATCATAACCTCCCCAGTTCTCAGCTGCCATGGAAGGTGCTGCTGGTGCAGAAGCCATTTTCCCTGTTCAGCCTGGTCCCTGTCCGGCTCTCAACTCTCAAAATACTTTAGCACCGCATGCCTCGTGTCCATGCGTCTGTCTGAACAGTGTGGGACTATCTGTTTGTGAGAGTGTATTGTAATGCATTTTTCTTGTTAATGTCTGCTGACATATCCTCGTTTGAATGTCTGTTTTTTTTAAGTGTTGTCTCCATCTGTCGTGTGCTTGTCTGTGGACTCGTTTCAGCTCCTCAGAGTGCTAAAAAGATTCACTGTCTGCAGCATTGTCCTGTGCCCCTTTTGGAATGTGGCCTGGCTCAGCTATGCATGGCAGATGTCCTCTGTGTGTTAGCTTTGATATGAATGCAGCAGGCATCAGAAAAACTGTCTTGAGGCATAGATGATAACCCCCTTTTCAAAGATTCCTTGCAACGACTGTGTCCTTGCATTGATGAATGAACTGTGGATACTTCAGTGTGCTCCATAGTCGGTCTAATGTCTCTGACCTCTTCACTGCTTCAGGGCTGTTCCTCACCTTTGGTGGTGAAGTTTGCCGACACACAGAGAGATAAGGAGCAGCGGCGCCTGCAGCAGCAGCTAGTACAGCAGATCCAGCAGCTCAACAGCGCCTCCACCTGGGGGAACCTGGCTGGCCTGGGGAGCCTCACACCGCAGTACCTGGCAGTAAGTGTTGCTCAAACACGCTATCCTGCAGAGCTGCACAATTACTCATATTATCATATGGCACAGTTTTAATTTCAGTATGTATTATGGGTTTAGCCATGCGTTTACCGTGTGGGCCTCTTTAGTTACACAGTACAAGTGTAGAAAGAAACTTGGTGACAATATGAAGGAATATATGTGAGGTAATACATTAGATGTGACATCTATAATAGTAGATGGAGTATAGATAGAGTCAGATCGCAAAGAGGTGTCAATTTCTGATGTGGTGTATTGGTGGATATATTGTGAGGTGTTAAGGTTCATGTTTGAACAGACCACACAGTCTCAACAAAAACTGAAAAAAGGCAGATCTTTCTCAGGGATATGTTGTGTTAAATCATTTCCATGTGATCCTGTTTCGTTAACCTGCTGTTTGTTAAACAGTGAGTGTGACTGTTCTGGATGGAAATACAACTGCCATTTTGTCTCCAATATAGACTGCCTCGTAGCCCTCAAACCTTTGCAAAAATCCTTATAAGGATATCATAAAGTTTAGCTCATCACATGGTAGATACATATAAACAGTGTGATGGTGCGGAATGCAAATGAATTAAAGGTTTAGGGCTCATACACATGCAGCGTTTTTTGCATCCTCAAATCCATTGTTTTCCAATGTAGACACGTTGCAGGCATGCTCAAAAGTGAGAGCAATGCCGTGGCAGCACACAAGTGTTACCTTGTGCCTGTTTAACAGGACGCTCCGACCTCACCCTTAGATAAACAAAGTTTAACTTTTGGAACACAGCATCGTGCACCACATGTCATGACACAAGGAACAACCAATCACAGATATACCAGATACAAATACAGAGAAGTTGTTGATCATTTCAGTACAGGGATACAGTCTGTCCCACAGACAACATTTTAGGCCTAGTACACACTTAAAAAACATCACCTGGAAGATGATAAGCTTCAAACTTGGGATGGTAAGAAGGATATGATACAGTGCTGTTTATGGTTACTTAGCAACTTAAGGTGCAGCCTGCCTCGCGCCCCTGAAAGTTGGCACAGAGTAGCCACATGAACAGCACCCAGCACCCCCGACCTTGCATTTTCCACGCACTTAAAGACGCAGCATTTGTCCCTGCCCTTAAACTGATTGTCTTCTGCTCAGAATAGGAATATCTTGTTTCAGTTTGTGTTCTGGCTGAAGGACACTGGCATGTGACTTGCATGTGCTCACTCTAATTCAGAGCCAATAAGCATGTGACTTGAACATGAACATAACATGAACAGCTGAGCTGTTTGTGTTTCTGGCTGGAAAACTAGAAGTAGTTACAGGCAAGAACGGATTAAAGTGACTGTGCTGGTACTTGGTATATCCAAATACCACATACGTTTTGATTAAAGGGAAATGGAGAGCTGTTGTAGCATCAAAAGCATTTGGTGGTAATTTCTTAAGAAGAGAGTAGGGCTGTACCCGACTTAAAATTACGTTAGTTAAATAGGATGTGGCTGTTCAATGTGTTAATTCGACTATACGTTCCTTTTTTTCCGTAAATAGCTAGAGACTTGGAAAGGGGTCCAGTGGGATTTTCAGGGTAACAGCAATATTCACGTAATATAGTGAAAAGCCAAGTAAAACCATAGAGCTAAAGTTAACTATGCTAACGATGAATTGAAAATGTGAAACAGCATTTTTTTGATGATACTAGATACAAAACAAAAGCCAGAGACTGTGCAGTATTAAGTTGCTGTGGGCTTTAAAGTCACCAATACTAAGCAAGAGGCAAAGATACCATTATCTCTGAGCCTGAACGGGCAGAACCTCTCTTCCTCCAGGCAGCTGCCTCCATCTCACCTCAGCCTCACCCTGGGTCTGGGACGGCAGCTGCCTGTGGCAGAGAACAGCATGAAAGCAAAGAGTGCTCACTCTACAGCTAAATCTGGGGGGCAAGAACAACTTGAAGAATCTTAAGTTGACTGAGGGGATGATTTGAACTTTCAGCTTTCAGAGCAGTCATACAAGACAGTCTCCATGTTAGTTTTTGTACAAACCTTGCTTTGCTACTGCACCTCTAACTAAGACCCCATTTACACGTAGTCACTTAATGAATACGATACAGCTTCAGGTGCATTAACACCTCTTCCTGGACTGGAGCAGAACTGACTGGGATTTGCACGTAGCCCGAGAAAACTAAGACGGAAACGCTTTATACATTAAGTGGCTAAGTGTAAATGAAACTCTCTCAAATCTTATCTGGAATTTATCAGGATATGAAACACTTGAAATATAAATGGGCCCTAACTCGCCAATAAATTCTGCTTCTCAGTAAACACATAAGCAGATCAAAGCATCACATATTAAAAGATGAATGTATGAAAGCCGAGATTTTAACATCCAGTCTTTGTTCTCACATTTACTGTCTAATGGAAATGTGAATAATCAACGTTATTCTGAAATTCAAGAAAACAAGCAGCTTTGATTACACTGATTGATTTTTCTTTTTTTTTTTTAATCCAGTCTTTCTTTCCTTCTCCTCCACAGTTGCTCCAGCAGGCCACGTCCACCAGTAACCAAGGCAGTTTCAACAATATGCAGAGGCTAGGAGGTGAGTTCACCCTCTCAGATGTCGAGACCACTGTTCTTAAGTCATCCTCTGTAAAGCCAACACTTCTCCTGTCAGCAGCCTTGTGACTCACTGCCTGACGCCCACATGGTTTTAACTACCGAAAATCACATGACTCTTTCAGATCAGTGACACATTGATAATCAGTGCTGTTATTCCAGGCTTGTGCAGGCTGCTTAACAACAAACACGACACACATTACTGTGATTTGGTTGAATTAAAAACCAATAGAGCAGTGAGGAAAGATGTGCCATGTTAGAATCAAGAAACAGCAAACACTATCATTTTAATGGGGCCAGTTTTTTTTTTTTTTTTTACTAAATACTAAAACCAGTACTGCATTTTCCCATTGGTATTAATAAAGTACTCGATGTAATACAACCCTGAACCCAGTGTGAAACTACAATAAACGCTATGATTGGATTTGGCCAGAGTGACCAAATGTAATGATTTAAATATGGTTTTTAAAAAAAGAGACTGAGAGAGGGAATATTTTCTAATAGGTGACACAACATTTATTGACTGATCAATTACTGATTCTGCTCATCAGTCATTTTTTTAATCAGTTCCCTTTTTGACTACTGATCCATTTTTTGTGTGGGAAACTTTGGGCCTCCACAGGTTTAATGCATCAACGTAATTTTGTTACGTCTGGGTCTGTAGACGGTGAAATGAGAAAATATTTGTACAGAGTTTGTTTTCATTAAGGTGTTCCTAGTCAAAGAAAAAACCTGCTAAGCCTGCTTGTGTTGTGCTAATGTTACTTGAACATATATATATATATATATATATATATATATATTTACCCCCAGTAACAGACCAGCACTGTCTGTCATCTGTCTTTGTGAAATGAAGCCACACTGTTTCCTCCACTCTGCTGTGACTCCTTCTTGTTCCAAGTTTCCAGCAGTTTAGATGCATGAGCTTCATGTCATTATTTTTGCAATGTGCAATTGTCAGAAAACAGGCTGGCACCGATAATGAAAGACAGATTGGACAATTTTAAACCAGTTCTCAAGTGGGACTTGCTCTCAGTTCCCACTCTGACTCTCCGTGCTTACATTCTGGAGAAATTTTTACCCTCCAAGACTTTTTAGAAAGGCGCATCTCAGTGAGAACTTGAGTATAACTTTGGACGTCTTTGATAATCACCTCTGTTTCTTTGCTCTCGCAGCAGGTGTGAACCCCCTTCAGCTGCAGAACTTGGCCACATTAGCTGCTGCTGCGGCTGCAGCCCAGAGTTCTGGCAGCCCGACCTCCACCAGCGCCCTGTCTGCAAACAGTGCAGCCCTGGGAGCCCTGGCCAGTCCAGGTAATTAAACATGAGCTGTACTGTGTGTATGTACTGTATATACAGTGTAAAGCAAACACTGCGAGTCAGATCCTGTGATCATGGCTATTGCAGTTCAGTTTTGTTTTGCTTGCTGAGTTTTGTTTACTAAATTCACCTGTGTCTGTTATCTTAAGTTTATATTTACACGTAACATTTAAATCTAAGTGTAAATATAAATCCTTCATCCACTGAGATGGACATACATTTCCACAGTTAGCCCCCAGGCTGCTCTGATAGTATCAGCAAACTGCTCTGCAAACCTCCCTCGTCCGCTATTTGCCTAACGGCCCTCAGCCATTCCTCATTTATTTTATGGGAGTTAATCAGCCACATATAAAATTTTATGAGAGCCCCCATTTCCCTTTAATCTGTGTAAATATACATTGGCGCCATCTGTCTGAGTTTAGCATATTGCCGCTGCGGTAATGACCTTTCCTCGTTAAGGGACAGATTTTTAACTGCCCCCCTCACTGCTGTGTCATCCTCTCATAACATAACAATTTGTGGCAAAGATGCCAGACGTTCAAAGTGATATGAGGTGTTTTGAACATCGGCTAGTCGCCCCTGTGGTAATCTAGATGTCCTTATTTTTGATGTGTGTCTTAAAACAGCTGGTTCTACAGCAGCGTCCAGCGCGGGTGCTGCCATGAACACCTTGGCATCTCTGGGCACCCTGCAGGGTCTCGCTGGGACCTCTGTGGGCCTCAACCTCAACGCTCTCACCAACAGCGTCAGTGGTAAGAATTTCCTTTTCTGAATAGCTGCATAAAAAATATAAGAAAGCTTGTAGGTAACAGTTGCACACTAGTACCAGGAACAGAGCAAGACCTAAAGCATAGCTACAGTACAGGCCCAAAGTTTGGACACACCTTCTCATTCAATGCGTTTTCTTTATTTTCATGACTATTTACATTGTAGATTCTCACTGAAGGCATCAAAACTATGAATGAACACATGTGGAGTTATGTACTTAACAAAAAACGGTGAAATAACTGAAAACATGTTTTATATTCTAGTTTCTTCAAAATAGCCACCCTTTGCTCTGATTACTGCTTTGCACACTCTTGGCATTCTCTCCATGAGCTTCAAGAGGTAGTCACCTGAAATGGTTTTCCAACAGTCTTGAAGGAGTTCCCAGAGGTGTTTAGCACTTGTTGGCCCCTTTGCCTTCACTCTGCGGTCCAGCTCACCCCAAACCATCT